ATTAAAAGTAGTTCTGAAGTTTTTCAAAAGAGTTTTTTTTTTATTTCCTTTTATGCTTTAGGCATTTTTCTGATTAGGAATCAAATTTAATTATTTTTCCACATGAAAGTTAGGGTTCAGAATGGAACTGTTATTCATGTATTTATTATTTTTTCTTAAATTAACCTTTCTTAAAAACCGTCATGATTAGGGTTCCTTCATGTTCCACTGGGGGCTGTTCTCATGCTGACCCAGTCTAGACGATCACGCCTTTTTACGAACCTTCCTATTTTTCCTTTTTCCTTCATTTTGGAAAAACATCCAGTTTTTATAATGTAACAGTAAAACCTGTCCAGATTTTTTCCTGGGTATATTTAAAAAGCTTTGGAATTTTGTGTTCTCATCTGACTGATACTTTATAGATTTTTTTATTATCCCTTTATAATCAGAGATACTTGAATAATACTATAGGGAATTACTTTTGTTACACGCTCCAGTTACAGTTTTTCATATATATATATATATATATATATATATATATATATATATATATCTCCAACTAAACAAAATGAAAATAAAAAAGATAAAATATCTACACATAAGCCAACTGATTCAAACTGGCAAAGTACAGCTGATAGGATGGCTGTAATTTATTTCTGTTCATTCGCCACATTGCCAGCAGGTTTCTGCTGCTCCTTTATGTTTGAACCAAATTAATCACCTCCTTAGTTAAATTGCACTGGAGAATCAAATGTTCTTTTTATTTGCATTTTATTAATTTTTTTATTTTTTTATGCCATATAAATCCTACTTTAATGCAAGTTTGTATCCACTGAGGTACAGGGTTGTTCTTTACTTTCATCATTTTCCCAAGTGTTTACGCTGGCATGCACATTTTTAAATGAGTTAGCTCATTTTACTCAACTTTTGTTTTGAAGTTGATGTTAAGTTTCATTTAATAATTTATTTATTTTGATTTATTTATTTTTAATATAGCAGTTTTGTAAGTTTCCAGGAATAATGTTAACTTAAACCCTTAGCTTCCACTAACCGAACGCGGGATGTTTTGACTTCTTAATTTTAAAATGTTGAAAATTGCGTAAAAACATTTTTAATTTTTTTTTACTCAAATAGTTTTTTAGTAGCCTTTAAATTTATAATTTGGATTTTGTTTCTTCAGTTAAATTAAGTCTGACAGCTAAGATGGCTGACTAAAATGCAATTGTTCAAGTAGATCTGCTTAGTCTGGATGAAATAAAATATCTTGCCTCACAGTCCATGCAGACTCCTCCAGTGAGGGCAGATTACAGCGACGGACTGATTAGTTCTGTTGCAGGTAGTCAACCTGTGGCTGCAGCCTCAGTGGAACTGTTTGTATGTAATGTTTGACCGCTGTAATTCTTTCTGCAGCCCGTTTGCATACGTGGACCCATTGCATTGTAACATGGCATATTTGTACCTGGAGCTCCTCAAGGACTCCCTCAACGAGTATGCATATGCAGCTGAGCTAGCAGGCTTGAGCTATGACCTCCAAAATACCGTCTATGGGATGTATGTAAGTATCCCTCCTTCCCTCACGTCGCCTCCTAGACCTCATTGACCCACCTGCTCCCACTGACTCACTCAACCTGTCCTGGGTTCATAGGCAACGATTAGACTTTCTCTAAATTTTTCTGTATTTGGTGGTAAAACAACACAGTCTCAGGACAGCCGTGGCGTGTTGTTAATCATAATGTTCCATTTTTTTATTCAATTTGTATAAAACTTTTAGTTTCGTTTAGAAATCCTGAACCTTTCACCTAAAAGATGTTTAATCTCACCTGCCTTCCAGCCCAGGCTTGGTCAGTCTAGCCTTCATTTTAATCGCCATCTTTCTCCCTCCCTTCACCTGTGCTACTGCATTGCTTATCAACCACATTAGTACTTCGTTTTCAAGAATTTTCCAAATGTGGCGGCACTTTTCCTTTGAGAAGTCTTTGTTTTTGCGAGAGTAAGCTGGTTATGAGGCTGCATATACATACTCTACACTACATTTTAAATCATTCTTCATATATTGTTTTTTTTGTTTCCTTGTGTTGGTCCAACCCATCCTTCAAAAGAAACATCCCTTTTTATGCATTTGTTCCTTCTTTTTTTTTTTTTTCTTCCATTAGCCGCTACCTTTATGCATCTCCCCTGCACTGCAACATGACCTACTTGTTTCTGAGGTTACTGAAGGATGATTTAATAGAGTATACATATGCAGCCCGCCTGGCCGGGCTAGTATATGGCATAGCCTCTGGAATGAATGCTATCATCGTAAGTAAGCCGTTTGGAGTGTGTAAGCTGGTTCAAGGATCTACTCTTGGGGTTTAACAGAGCTCTATGGCTTGGTTTTCTATGCTAAGTTTGGATAACGCGTTCTTCATGATCTACACTTGGAACCAGATATTAGAATGCTAAAAGCAGACTGTTTTTTAAATGTTTTTTTTTTACTTGGGATGACCCAGAATAAGGAATAGAATAGCTTTCTTTTAACTGAGAGATTTTCTCAAATTATTATTACTTTTCCCCTTTAACTTTATGAACTTTATGGGAAGCCTCAAATGATGTCATGGCTTCATATGCCTCTGAAAATACACAACATTTGAGTTGAATAGAAGCACAATTATAACCACCTCAGACGCAAAATGTTGGGAGGAGAAATATGGAGCTTCTTCTGATGGCGTCATGTTTATCCATTTATATGCAAGATTAAGCAGCATGGCGAGGATCCAGATATTGTTCAGGAATTAGACAGGTTCTCTGTCCCAGAGGAGGAAGTGTTTTGATAGAAAATCAACCCCAGGAAAAAAGCAAAAGTCTTTGTTAAGATGCTAGCCGAACTTATTATAAAAGGTTCTGTATTAGCAGATAGGCTACATTTGGAGAGGAAGAAGCTAATACTCCAAAAACGTATAAAAAAAGAGGGAGCTTACAAGCCTCTAACAACATCCCACCTGTGAAACACGGCAGTGGGAACATGTGAGGATGTTGTGCTGCTGGAGAGAATAGTGCGCTTTATAAAATGGGTGAAATCATATGAAAGGAACATTATGTTGAAATATTGAAGCTAGATCTAAAGACGGCTGCGTGGATTTTAAATCTTTGACTCCAGTTGGTCTTTTAAATGGTCAGTCAACTAAAACATACAAGCAAATTTGCTGCAGCTAAGCCCTGGATATGCATTTCATTAGCCCTGATTTCAGTCACATAGAAGGTTTAGATCAGTTTACAGGGTTCCCGCGGGTCCTTAAAAAGTCTTAAAAGGCATTGCATTCTTCAAAATAAAAGTAAGGCCTTAATTGGTAATAAAATGTCTTAAATCAGTCTTTCGTAGGTCTTAATTTTTTAAACATCATAAATAGGATTATTTTTATTACGATTTATTTTTGTCATCTAAATAAAACGTTTAAAAAGACAATTAAAAAGTAAATTAAAAATAACCCGATAGCGGAACCAATAAAAGCGTTGTTGCGGCCGGGACATTTGGGGGATGCGCCATTAACTTTTTGTCTGGAAAATATGA